ATGTTATTTCTAGTTTTTGATTATTTCTATTGTGAATGTTTTTAATTTTGAAATAGAAGTTAAAATTGCCTCAAAAAGGGGGGTATTTGTGTTTAGAAGCACTATAACACCTTTGAAAAGCTTTAAGCCCAATTATACCATTGGAAGCTATATTCACAACCACGTGATATGTTCAATTCTGATGGATATTTTTTTGGTGCACTCAAAATTAGCCAATCAAAATCCGATTTTCAAGTTTGCATCACATGCATCAGTTTTTTTGTTGGTGCACCAAAATTTGCATCAGGCCTATTGGACCATTATAAAGATTCGATTATCAAAAAAAAAAAAAAAAAAGGCAATGTCTCCTTCCATATAAGCATATAAGGTCGCGCCGATATTAAAAATTACTTTCCGCAAAACTTTTTTTTTTTAAATCTTCTTACACACGTTTCAATTTCAAGCCTTCAAGCCCTCATTTTATTTTACCCTTTTGAATTTCTTTCAACTTTTTCAACTCTTTTTTAACTTTTAATAAAAATATATCGTAGCTATAAAGAAGTGTCTGCTATAAAGTAAGTTTTCATTTAATTTCATGCTGAATATTTAATACAAACGGTATATAATTGGTTTAGAAGAGTACTTGTTTCTTGGTGGATTATTCTCTTGACTTGCTTGTAAAATTCTTTGCGTCCATTGTTCACTTTTGAAGTGAAGTACTATTCTACTTATGATATACTCGTAAAAATCAAAACCTATTTCACTTATTTGCGAAAAATATTTGGTATTTTATTTCTAACCAAATTTATTTTTATTTTTATTATTTTTTACTTATAAGGTTATGGTCTACGTCAAGAACATGACAGCGGCAGATTGCAAAGCTTTGCAAATTTTAAAAGTAAAAACGCCCAATACAGGCAGTATTGAGGCGCAAATTAATCAAAAGCGCCTAATACGAAGTATTATGGCAGTTCAGAAGAGGTTGAGTCGCCAAGACTCAACATGGATTTTGATTTGCGGGTGTGCCTCCTCCCGTAAATACGCGTAAAGAAAACGAAGAGGAAAGCGATAAAAAGAGGCTCAAGAACAAGGAACCGATCCGAAAAGTAAACAGTCCGAAGAAAGTTAAACCAAATCGGACTGAGGGTTCCAAGAGAATGAGGAGCAAGTTACGCATTGATATGGTGGGTTTTAATTTATTGCTTGAAATTATTATATTATTAATATGAATGCTTGACTAACATTGTAGTGACATTTTCTTTTTTTTTTCACAGACTGCCTTATATCTTCAAATATTCTTTTTTTTTTTTTGTTTCTTCAAAAAAACTCTTGTGATTCAGAGTTAAATTTAATAAATAAATAGACAATACGCGTTTATTTACCCGGTGATTTTTGATAAAAAAATTAATATTTTCCTCCGGATTTTGCTCCCTAAATAAATTCCTCTCCTTTATAGTTGTAATATTCTTAATGTTTAAATTTTGATAGTTTTCAAGTTTATGATTATACTATTTGTTTATAA